AAAAAATATTAATGAAAATATAAAATTTTAAACACATTCTATGAAGGAAACCTACATGCACTGATGTCATATTATATTAAAAAAATTATTATGTAATTTAAATTATATTAGATTACACCACAAAAAATATTTAATGAAGAATGAGTTTTTTAATATTAATATTTTTCTTCTATCTAATAATTATTACTTTATAATTTAATGAAATCTAAATTATAAAATATAAAATATAAAATTTTTGCGTTTCTACTAATTGAATTCTGCTCCTCTTCTCCCATCCCATGCATTGAGTTTTATTTTTGTTCCCCAAAGTTTTAATCATTTAAAAAGACAATTCTATTAATTATCTATGTTAATCATTTTGCGTTTAACTCAATTACCTCTATTACTCCATATTACACCATAATAATGTTGTTGGTTTTCACAAAAAAATAAAATAATAATGTTGTAGGTATAATTAGGCAGTAAAACTTGTCAACTTACAATTAACGCTTCTCTGAAAATAACAACAAAAATAAATAAATAAATTTAAACAGTTTAAACAATTAAAGATAAATAATTAATGAAGAGGAAAGTCCTTAATTAATAGGTATATTTTTATTTAATATTTTTATTTTACAGCTTATTTAATAAAATAAAAAATTCAAACCATAAAAAATATATATATATATAAATATTATTATATAATTTTAATTATTAAATAAACCGAGACCCTACCATATAAACAAAAAATTTATATATATGGCACACATTAAATAGTTTTGACATGACCGATGTGATGGAGGCAACTATTTCCGATTATCCTTTCTTTTTATGTTCTATCAAGTAAAAAGATGACATCCTCCTAAGAATCTTTTAATGTTTTTTCATTAGAAAAAGTACTTACAAATTGTGCATCCCGTTCTGATGATGGTATTCAATTCATTATGATTTCCAATTTTGTAACGAGAAAAGTAAAAAAAAAAAGAAGAAAATATTTATGTTTTCAATAAAATTTTTATGTATTAATTTATTAAAAATATTTTAAATTATTATTATTATTTTAAATATTTTAAATATTAAAATATCTTAATTTAATTTAATTTTTTTTGTAATTTATATTATAATATTATTTACTTATAGAGGACTTTTGTTTGTTTTACATAACTCCAATAATACATACATATATTAGAAATCACCAGCACAATGATTATTCAAAAGAAAATAACTACTTTTCTTTTCTCTTTTCCATTCAATTCATGACACTTTTAAGTTTTCACTGTACCTAAACCTTATACAAGTAAAATTATATAAGTGCTTTACATCTGGCTATAACAATCCTATCTATAATTATTTTAATGAAATACAAAGGAACTGCTAAGTGTTAACTTTATATATGTGGTAAAAGTGAGTAGGATGACGATGCATAAATGGATTAATTAATTTAAAGACAACGACTGATTTTATTTTTAATAATAATTTATAAGTTTTTTTTAATTTGTGTTATTAGTGCATATATTAAGGGTATTTTTTGTTATAAATACATATAAAAATATAAAA